ACATCAAGTCTTAGAAATTTCTTTTCAATATCTATAAAAATACACTGATTGAGCAACTATGTGTTTCCAATCATTTGCCTCTACAAGACAGCAATGTAAGTGGACTACTCAGTGTATTTAGCCTAACTAAAATAGAGATTTTGAATGTTTGTCATAATTCCAACCATTAAATGTAATTTATATAATTTCTCTATCTTCTTAAGTAGAATGAATGATAGAGTCAAAGGTCAACACAACTTCAGAGATGAATTACTTGGAAAAAGAAAGAAGAGGTTTTTTTTTTTTTTTAATTTGAAAGGACAAAGGAGAATGTTTAAGTCATAGAATTGAAAGGCATAACTAATACAGAAGTTTATAAGTCTGACAGAAGCTTAGAGAAGACCTAGATGCTTCCGTAGTCCCAACACCATGACAACAGCATGGAGGAGCAAAAGGGGTTCCAGTACCTCTATCACTTGCATAAGAATGGTGAGACAGAACACTCACACAAATCAGCCAACGCAGATATGCAGCAAGAATAACCAGAAGCCTAGAATCCTTGGTGAGCCAGCTTCCCAAGGCTCAGGAAACTGCCCAGGGCGAATGGAGTGTCATCGGTGCTTGCCCCATTGTGACACAGCTGAGGGAACTCAATACACCCTAGACACCACTTGAATTGCTGAGCTCAAGCACTGGGGAACATCCCATTCTAGGAGGGAGGAGGACATAGCCTAGACTGTACCCAACACTTTCTCTGTGTCTCAAGATGCCCCATTCTAGAACTAGAATGGGATAAAGAGAAAGTCTCTGTTAAGTGGCAGGGGAAAGAGCTGGGGCAGCCAAGGTAATCTGGGGACTTGTCTTCCTACAACTAACCTTCCCAGTTCAATCCCTTCTTTATTTTGAATATTGCTAGTAAGAAATAGGGACACTATACAGTTTCTCTTTGTGGTATATTATCCTTAGAATATCTTTTACTGAGCTAAAAGATCCTCCCTCCCTTTGTGTTTTTTCCTTTCTTCTCTCTGAAACCATATAGAGTAAAATCTTCCTGATTTGCAGTTTTTAACATATTGAAGAAACTACTCTAGTTATTGGGGTTTTCTTGTTTTGTTTTTAGGTGTATGCATTTGTTTGTTTGTTTGTTTCTGAGATAGGTAGCCTAAGTTCATTTAACCATTCCTCTAGTGCAGAGGTTTTCACTGTGTGTTCAGTGCACTGGTGATGGTCAGTGACTATTTCTTACCCTCTGCTCACTGTATGTTATAGGTCTGCAAGAAGATAGGGAGCTTGCACCAAACTATAAATCAACACACCACTTATTTCATTGAAAAATTCTTTCTACAAAAAGTAATAATAAAGTTAGCTGAATTAAACTGTGTTTACTGAGATAGTTGCTTTATATTGTGGCACAAGATTTTATCTTATTGTAGATCAGTAATAATTAATTGAGCCAGCTAGTTTGATAGCAAGTGATAAGAATTTGACATGATTTGTACACTGGTTCTAATCATTCTTCCCTACACCAGCCTCTGAAGTACAACCAACTATTCCAGAGAGTTTGCTAAAAATATATTGGAAAATATTACATCCTTGTATCTGGAGACCATCTTAGTTTTGTATTGAGTTTTTAATCAAGTACAGCACTTCATGAGAATTATACATTTGTTCCCATTCAGATTATTCTTGATACTTATAATCCATCACTCCAAAATTACAACCCAGTAGCCATTCTGTCCAATTTTGTGTCATTTGCAAATATGGGCTATGTAGCTACTGGTATGTTAAAAAAAAAAAAAAAAGTCACTTAGACGCCACCTTTAAAAAATTTTTTTCCCGAGTCCATGGTTCAGCTGATCACTTATAGTAACCTTGACTCACTTATTTCTGATGATCTTTCTGGAGCCTGATCAAGCATCTGCCGTTACTGGTTGTTGACAGGGAACTGATCAGTCTATTATGGCCTCAGCTAAAGTAACTCAGCTTTCCTCTATGGTACTTGTATCCTTCAGCAGACTAGCCTGAATTTGTTCTCATGGCCATGATGTGGTTCCAAGAGAGACAAGAAGCACACAAGACCCTTGTAAGGATCAATCCCACCGCTGGCCTAGAGTAAAGCAGAAAAAAAGGTGAAAATGGATCTGGAGGAGAACAAAGATAAAACCATCACAATGCCAATGTGTTCTTCCAAATTATTTATTAAAATTTGAACATGGTATTGACAAATACTTTTCACAGAAGATCTCAATAGACCTTACAAATGCATTGGTCAACAGTTTCGTAATATGTTATTTAACTACCTATGATTCTACCAATAGATGCTTTCATCTAACCTATATTTTTCCATTCATAAGAGTTCAGTGAAAAGTTTTCTAAAATTTGATGCTGTAATTAAGAAATTACCCATCGTTTTCTGAACATAAATGACCATCACTGCATTATTTATAATAGCAAAATATTAGAAACACTGCAGGAATGAATACATTTTTATGGTAATCCATATAATGAATTAGTTCATATAGCTTCTAATTTTCAAATAAAATGAAATGGGAAAATGCTCACATTTTAATGTAATAACAGAGTGGTGAGATACATAGTGAGACACAACATTAAGGAAATGCAGGTTTCATATTTTATATTTAATATATAAATATTTTGAAATCCTAGAAAGGAATACACTAAAAATACGGATACTTATTTTCTTTGGATAGTAAGATAATAGTGATTTTTATTTTCATATTAAATTTTTACATATTTTCCAAATTTTCTACAGTGGACATATAAAGCATCACTATCCAAAAAAGATAAACATTTAAAGTTTTTTTTCCATTTTGTAAGTTTCCTGGGAATTAAAATCAAGCTCACACTTTCCTCTATTTTGAAAATTTTGCCATTTGTTCATTGCCATTTAATATTCTCTGAGATGTTATAATAATCAGAGGGAAATTGGGATCTTTGCCATTAGCATAGAGGCTAGACAATAATAACTATTTTATGAATATTTTTATCTTGAATTTTTTTTTCTGCAGCTATACTCAATGTATGTCTTCTTTTTCTATTGGATACCAAGAAGAAAGAGGATTTTATGACTATTTGGACCGAGGCATAGTACCTATGTCAGAACCAATAAAAAAGATAAGTTCTATATCACAGGATAGGAATGCAAGGGAAAAATACATCTCAAACATTGGTGACTCTTCTGTCACATCATTATGAGACTAAAGAAGCTATCCCATAGCTACATCTATGTTGACATTGACCATTTGTTTATAGCCTTTAAACTCTTGCTAGCAGTAAAAATCATGTTACAAGGTGACATTTAAGCCGTCCATAATGCTTAAATGGATAGTACAGGTGCTAGAATGTCTCTAACAACACAGTGGGTAGGCTTTTCCCGCAAGAGATCTAGAATTCGAATGTGAGCAAATAACCTACCAGACACCATGTCCATCAGAAGCATTGTGATAGAATAATAAAGATGAACACAGAGTCTTTGATTCTCCTCCCACTGAGAAGTGGAGTCTCTGTTCCTCCTCCTGATCTGAGTGGACTGTGTTACTTCTTGACCAATAGTATATGACAGAAGTGACATTATGCTAGTTTCCCGATCCAAGCATTAAGAAGCTGGTAACTAATACTTCTTGTCTCCTGGAACACTCCCTCTTGGAAACCAGCTGCCAGTCTGTGAGAAACTAAGCCCCATGGAGAGTTCATGCATATGTGTTCCATTGACAGCCTTTACTATGCTCCTAGCCAATCATAAGCATCCACTGCAACCATGTAAGTGAGTCCTTTTAGCCTGTCATGTCTTTAGATGACTCTAGCTTCAGACAGTATCTGACTCCAATTACATGAAAGATCCTAAGCCAAATACATCCAGATGAACTCAGTCAACCCACAGAATCATAAGACATAGTAATAAATTGTTGCTTTAATCTACTAAATTTGTGGTTGGATTGTTCAATGTTATTTTTTTAAAACTGGAACATTAATCTTAGCCAGTACTGTTGTACTTGAAACAAAATTTTAAAATAATTGCAGGAAATAGATGATGACATAAGATCTCTGTAGATCTGTCTTTTAAACTGGAACAGACCAATAGTGAGGAGAGCTTACTATACATTACACCTTTCAGAATCATACAGACATCGTGATCCAAAGAAACCAAGAAAAAATAAAACGAAAGCTCAAGATAGCACTTAGAACTTCATGTTTGGAGTTGATGAGATGCCATTATGAGTATGGCACTTTACTGTTTACGACAACCCTGGGGAATATGAATTATTATTATCCTCATTCTTTTATTTCCCCCTCCCTTCCTTTCTGTCTCTCTCCCTTCCTCCCTCCCTTCCTCCCTTTCTTTCTTTCCCTCCTTCCAATTTCCAAGTTGCTTTCACTGTGCTCCACTCCATCACACCTCAGCAGGAGTCTGTCTCATGTCCGCAATCTCCCCATGCCATTCATAGTATGTGACATACAAAAGGATGCTGCTCAAGCAGGTATCCCTGCGATGTCAGGTGAGCGATCTCTGAGGTGAGAGGGTAACTCCTGCAGGATTTCATCCTCAGAAGCCCTTATGTGCTGCCTTAATCACCTTTGTTCTTCTCTCAGATCAGAAACGATCAATGGCCTGTTTTTTAAGGAACAACGTATTACACACATATATATATGTGCGTGTTATACACACATATATACACACACACATATATATGTGCGTGTTATACACACATATATACACACACACATATATATGTGCGTGTTATACACACATATACACACACATATATATGTGCGTGTTATACACACATATACACACACATATATATGTGCGTGTTATACACACATATACACACATATATGTGTGCGTGTTATACACACATATATACACACACATATGTGTGTGTTATACACACATATATATACACACACATATGTGTGTGTGTGTGTATGTATATAAGCCTACCAAACATATATATAAACATTTGTTATGCTGAAGGACAAACAACTCTTTTTGTTTTCAGGTATTCCAAACTTGATTACGTCTGATATGGTTAAAGAAGGTGCTGCTGTAATTGATGTGGGTATCAACTACGTCCATGATCCACTGACAGGAAAGACAAAATTAGTTGGAGATGTGGACTTTGAAGGTAATAAACCAATATCTTTTGATAAGTGAAGATTTAAAAAAATTCTACCTTACACATTTTAAAAATAGAGAAGTTTCATTTATGGGGGAATTATTAACTTATTAATCATCACCTCTTTCTTCTGAGGGAAGAGAGATCAATCAGACTTAAATATTTACTTTCTCCCTTCTTCTCTCTTTCCCTCCCTTTTATCCTTCCTTTCTTCCTTTTCTCCCTCTCTTCTAATTGTATCATTAATATTTGGTTTAGGGATCAGATTTCTTGTAGTACAGTTTTTATTGATAGAATACAGCTGTCCTTTTATAGACCTGGGCATTGTTTCGAATTTCGGGAGTTGTCATCTTACTCTAGCTTAGTCAAATATGCTCTATTCTCAGCCATTCACTCTTAGAGCCAGAAGGCACTTTAGGGTGTGTCTGCCAACCTTAACTATATTTCAGATCTAGGTAGTTATCTAGATAGTTGAAGTCAGTGTTTTTCACTTGTGTTTTAGAGAGAATAAAGAAAAGGAACTAAGCTAGTTTTTGTGGTCAGTGAAAGATATAAGGCAACAAATACGTAGCAATAAAAAAAAATTCTAACCCAGTCTTCTCTTTACAGAAGGGGAAACTGGGCCCCAAGACTGATGTATTTCTAGGTGCCTGACCCTCTAATCTGATTTTACTTCCGTTATCTTTGTCAGATATTTACCTGCGTTCAGATTTTCAGTGTAGCCTAGGAGTCTTAGATGTCCATGAAGGCACAAATATGGTAAAGCAAGTGGTGACATTTTTATGTTAGAAATATTTTTTGTATAAGACTGATTATTCTGGCCAAAAAATACAGTGCCACATCAAGAACTTCGTTAGTTATAGATGTGCCCTTCTTACAGAGAAACTGAAAAGAATAGGTGGTGCCATTTTAAAAATAATTTAGATTTTGAATTTTCACTTAGAACCTGCTCATCAGCTGATAGTTTACCCAAATTCTAGCATATTGTTGAATAAAAATAGAAAATGCAGTTAGAAGTGTCCTAGGATACTGGCCTTATATACGTGAGATTCTAAGATACATCAGGGACCAGATCCAAGTGGGCATTTGAGCCTAAAAGAAAAAGAAAACCCTAAGGACACATATGTGCAACAATGCATTCTAGAGACAAAATGGTGTAAATAAGAGCAGAGTACAGATATACCTTACCAAAGAAAACACTGCTGCCCTCATTGGCTCTAATACATAGCGTCCCTGACATGGTTGGAACTCTGTTCTAGCAGTGATGGCTCTCGACATGAACATGTGTATCTGTATGCAGATACCTATGTCTGTGTGTGTGTTGTGTACATGCTGAAATCACTAGGGAATGACCTCATTTATTTATTTAATCTTTCATGTTCAATCACTTAGGTCAGATATGAGTAACTTATTTGAATTTCTCAACTTGGAAGAGTAAAGTACATTTTATTTTAAAACCTGGCCTTATTTATTTTCTTTACTGTCATTCTGTTTCTTGATAACATTATAGTTATGCGTTCATTGCAAAATTACCACATTTGTGATGCACCCAGATGGCACTGACAACATGAGATAACCAGCTTGAGGCAAGAAAAGCAGGGATGTTTGCAGTTCACAGCCTTGACCGCCTGTAAGGCAAGCTTACCCAGCAGTTCAGTTTAGCACGTTGTATAAGACTCTTCTCTCATAGAGTATTTTTTTGGTCTCATATCACTTCCATGCTTTCTTATTTTTAAGTAAGAATGATTTTTGCTGAAAGTAAAAAGTATTCTGAAAGCAAATTTTACGTGAGTATTTTTGGTGGGTGTGTATACTTAGTAGCACATATAGATACTCCATGTCACATGAAGTCTAACTTGGTAATGACTATTAAATCAAGTTGTAGTTCGGTGTATCTAAGTATATATAAAACATTTAAAAAGGAAATGGAAAAGAGACAAAGATATGAGATGAACAGGGCTGGGAGACCTAGCCTGTTGCCCTATAGCTTTACCACCTCACTAGCTGTCAGTGTTATCAGTTAAATGATAGCAATTATATTAGTGGCTCCATTCAGCACTACTGTTTGGGGTATCTTGGACATCCAACAGAGCATTACCAAACAATCATGTAAAAGCACAGAAACTTTCACCTGGAAGGTCAAGATTTTCTAATCCTATCATAAAAGACACCCATATTATTAATTGTATCTAGCTTGCCAGCGTGCTGGTTCATGGAGCCAGAGTACTAATGAGGACCTGGACTTGGTAAAGAAGGCTTTGCCAGTGAGGCCATGACTCAGCCACCCATAGGAGCAGGCAAGTGATAGGTTTTGACATGTTGCTCTTCAAGTTGTTCATCAGGACTTAACCTGAGGTGAGGGATGATCCCCCAACTGAGAGGGAGGAACTTTAAGATGGGTTATGCTACAAAACTCGTAAGTAACATTTGGCTTCAAATTGCCACAGGGAAAGTGTGGTGGCTGCTTTGTGAGTATCGGTGAAAAGTTTCACTATAACTATAGCCAAGATAAACAAAACAGATGTAGATAAAATCAATCATTGAAGTAAATTGTCCTTGCAGAAATATTTGTTTCATTAGTAAAGAAAACTGGGTGACCCAGTTAAAGTAGATAACATTGATGGGAACGATTTATCGACATAAATGAGCAAAATGGCTGTGATGGAAAGGATGACAGTGTCCCAGAGGATGTAAAAAACTTCACATTAAAGGAACCTGCAGAGAAATTTCATGCCATTGAAAGGGCAAAGGATAAAATGTTGGAAGCTGATTCATACTTAGAAAGGAATCTGCCAGTTCACCAAGGCATAGAAAAGATGCTTGCTCCTAATCATCAGTTGTATGACCAAGAAAAGGCAAGAACCATTCAAACTATACTTTTCAAAATGTTTACAGAGAAAAAAAACAGTTCAGTTCTCAATGTTTTCAGCATTTTAAGTTGCATTCGTTTTTTAAATATTAGTTTAATTTTGCTAGTAGTTTTACTATTAGTGAATACTAGTTTTACTATTAGTTTTACTACTAGTAAATAGTAATATTTGTTTTACTATTATCAGTAATATTAATTTTACTGTTATTTTTAATCCACTATACATTTATAAAACACAGGAAGAGAACTTTTAATGTTTCGACAAAATAATTTTAAAGGTCACTAAACAAATATAATTTCTCCCATTGACTATTAAAATTGCTTCACACTCTTTCAGCAGTCATCTCTGTGGTCTTACACTACTGTAAAAATTGAACACTGCCTGTATTTTTCTCTGTGTCCAATTGAGTCTCATAAAATTAGTGATCATATAGTTCAAATCAATATCCAATGCCATAATCACTTCTACTACATGATTATTCAGTTGTTTGGTTACAGTTTCTCACTATTACTATTACTGTCCAGGTAGGTAATGTTCACTGTGGAAGGTAATGTGTACTAAGCACCTTGCTAACCAGTATGTTCTTTTCCTCAACATACATCCAAGTTAGGCCTTTTCTGCAATGCCATGCCTCTTTGGATGTTTTGGGAAATAAATAGGGCTTTAAAGTTATTACTAAATTGAAGTGCTATTTTGTTTTGTATTGATTTCCAATTAAGAACTTGACAGTTCATCAATATGTCCAGTTTCTGACAAATGCTTAACATTCCTCTTCTGTTACTTGAACATACTTCCTCCCTCCTGACTTATGACATTAAAAGAAGAAACAGTATTTAAAAGCATCTGTGATAAAATTATTTTGCATGTCTAAGAATTATTTTTCATTACTAATAATCATACAGTGAATAATCTATTAATTTATAAATTTATATTTGCTATATAGATTATTACTTTTTATACTTATGTATACCTACTTTCATGGGCATTTTTTTAAAACCATTTTCTATTGTAGCTTTGAAAGAAACTTCATACACTTCTGACAAAGAAGGCTGTATTCTCAAAAGATATAAATGAGATTATGTGCTATGAGTAGTAAATAGCTTCTTATGAATAACACATCAGAAAATAGCGTGTAGTCCTAGACTCAAAAACTCGTAATTGTACTGTTCTTAATTCATCAAATGGATTTGTTCAGCTGAACAGTCTAATTAATTACTTCCATGCTGTTAATTCAATTAACTGTGCTCTTATAGGTGAATTCTTGGGCCTCATTTATTTCTCATAACTAACACAAAGACATTTCTCTACACTTTTGAAGCTTTAGTAGCTTTGCTTCAATTTTATGATGCTTCCTGCAGGGATTGAGGTGGAATAAGAAGAACTGGAGTGTCTATTCCCTGTTGTCTGCCATCTCTCCTCCCTGTCTTCCAACTCTGACAATGCTTTTCCACTCATTGGTTTATACTAAAACAAGGAATAAAATAAGACAGGAAAGAATTGGTGTTGTAAAGAAAGCAAAAAGATAGGAAAGAGAAATGGCATGTAGGCATTTTTGTTAAAATCAAAATAGATGAGATTGATGTCTAAGAGTGACTTTCGTTTCTCTACTGTCTTAACATAATTGGATAGTAAAATTTAAAGTGATAAGTCTTTGTAAAGGTGGTAAGTCTAATGTAAAGGTACATTATATTGTTGATGACACTGGTTTAAATTACAAAAGTAAAGAAGTCACACTTTATGGAAAAGAATGTCTACTCCTCTAACGCAACTGACATTATCATTATATTTTGTACTAAAGTTGCTTCCAGATATTTTATGTATGCATCAACTATATAGTTTGAGGAATATATATGACTTATGCACTTAAACTTGTTTTACTGATTTGCCTTGCTGAGGTTCTGGTTTATGGTTATGTTCAGTGAATGTATCATTATTTGGTTCACCCTTTCTCTATTGTTAAACTCTTAGGTTGTTTCCTTTTTTTTCCTTTTAAGTATTATACTTGAGTATAGGTGAAGGGCTGTAACAAAGGGAAACCAAAATGCATAGCCAAGATAATTTGGCTAGCCAGGCATGGTGGCTCACACCTGTAATCCCAACACTTTGGGAGACGGAGGCAGGTGGATCACTTGAGTGCAG